CACCTGGTGATGAACTTTGGCAGGAAGATATTAGGCTCAATGCATTGGTACTGGATCTAGGAACAGGCTTCTTAGCACTTCTGGATCGCTTTGGCTTTTTCTGTAGGCAAAAGCCATCTTTATGACCGATGACTTTACACTTCCTGCATCTATGCTGCCTAAATGGGCAGTTCCGTACATAGTGCCATGAACCGCAGTGCCAGCAAGCAGAAGGTGGATTCATTTTGGGTTTTTGGGCCGAATTGGAATTTTTCTTTTCACTAATGGAATGCACGTATGATGAGAGGCCCTTGTTTTCGACCATGGAGGTATCATGCTTCAAGTTTACTAATCTCTGGCACTCTGCAGTTATTTCTTGAAGCGAGATGTTTGGGCACTGTTCAATTTTACTTAGGATTCTGGTTCTTATATCAGCATCGTCGGGAGATTGTAAGCTGCACACAAACACAAGGCACTTAAACTGATCTTCCGTCATTGATGATAATTTAAATCGTTCGCATTCACGATTTACTAAGCCAGCATGCTTTACCCAGTCATCTTCATTTGACTTGATTATTTTGAGGCATTGATAACGAATATTAAAGAGAGATGACTGTTCAGAGAAGATTTGCGACAGCGTATCAATTGTAGCATCAAAAGAGAAATCTCGTGGGTTCTTTGGGAGGATGAAATTACTGTAACGTTCGTGTTCGATTGTGCCGAGCTTTCTCAAAAGGATTCTGACTTTGGTGGCGTCATCAAGATTGTTGAGGTCGACCTTGAACAAATCCTCATACTTCTTAAACCAAGACTCGAAAGTCACACCAGCAAGGCCATCAAAATGAAATTCATGAATGGAATTAACTATCGAGTCTGTATGCGGATTATATGAATCATCGGCAAAACCTCTGTGATTCAAATTCATTTGTTTCATTAACAGCTCCAACATACGTTCCTGGAACTGTTCACATCGTTTACCTTGACGTTCCAGTAAAGATTCCAACTGTTCAAGATTAATTGACATTGTGAATTGTGAGCCCCGTCGCCACTGATATGTTTTGTGGATATGGTTTTTACCCCGTCGCCACTGATATGTTCGGCACTTAGGATGCTTGAGGCTATTACGAGTTTACCTTAGTCGATAAACGCGAACGATGCTTTTACCAGCTTCCAGGAAGGCTACCCTGAATCCAAACGGTAAAACAGAAGCCTTGGTAAGAGTAGAAAGTATATTCTACAAACACCCAGCAATCCAGTACAATCAAGCATACAACTCTCGTTTATTTATACAACATAACAACGTCCTTGAGACAGTTAAGAAAATAGCATACTAAAATACACTGTAGCCAATCACAGCCATTGATTTTCCTGGTGGGAATTGAAATCTCAAGGTCATTTGATCAGCCCCTGCTGGCGAAACGTAAAAACCAAAATACGGCATTATCATGCGAATTTTGGGGATCTAACATCCCCAACAGTATCCTAGTAAGAAGCCGGTTGGTGTAACAGATAAGATGGCCTTTCTAAGTATGGAACAGAAAGGAAAAGGTGAAAAGTGTAGGCATCAAGACGGATCCGAAGTGTGTGATGACAAAAGCCTCTTAGCTGCTCGAAAAGCCTGGAACGGTAATTTGGATTCGAGGAATCAGAGGTTAATGAGTTCAGCAAATATGAATAAGGCGCAGGCAGGATTGTCTGAACGAAATAAAGCCTATTTTCGGAACCCTTCAGTTAGGGTAAATTATATAACTGGACCTAGAGTAGATTCTAGGATAAGTGATGGTGGTACAGTAACGGCTAAGAAGCCTAGGAGACAACATGATGCTACTATTACTAAGAAGCCTAAACCTCATGCTCTTTCGGATGCTACGACTAGCCATGGAAATAGTAGCCATCAGAACCTTAGTAGTGACAGTGATAATAAGGAGATAGAAAGTGTCAGCAGTCCACTTATAGTGACTAGTTTATCAACTTCATCGAATGAGCCTCCTAGTGTTTCGACGTCATTGGACCTCGTCACGAATGTTAAGTTGATTGAAGATGCACAAGGTTGTGCAACTGTAACTGTTCATATTCCGGTTGACTGTCAGTCGAGTGATGATGAGAAGAAAGTGTTTGATGGTAACGGCCAGTCTACAGTGTTGTGTGATGACGATGCTATTGAAGAGCATATGTCTTGTGTCTCTGAAACGGATGCTAATGCTGACCGAATCGACGCTACTTGTCTGACAGAACGGAATCATGATGACGTTGATAATAATCTGGATGTCACTGATGTGACAAATGAGTTGTCGACGATGACGAATGCTGATCAAACCTCCTCTGTATCAGGAGATGGAGAGATAAATATTGATCCCACGTTATGCTACTTAAAGTCTTCTGGAGACGATGAAATGTCAAAATTGGAGATCCCACCCTTGCATATTATCTATGGGTCAAGAATTTCTGTTGATAAGTCAGCATCACGGACTTCATTGTATCTGCTGACTGGAGCAAGTGGTGGTGGATTGGCGACTCGTCCCCATGATAGGGAATGTAGTTCCCGGATAGGATATGACCAGTTTTACGACGTGTTGTACATGTTCGTGTGGGTTAATTGGGTAAGGTTTATACTACCGTTAGGTCATGCCACGATAGATAGGGGAATCAAGGGCCTGATGGGAAAGTATAGGTACCTAGTTAACACGATAGGTCATATCCATGTTGGATGGCGGGTAGGCGTACTGCTGTAAGTCCTACACGTTATTCCGGTGTGGATTAGGGGATAACTGGGGACCCTAAATAAAGTGTCATTAACGCTTGCTCCCTTTGCATGGAGGGATTTTGCGGGCCGGTGTAGAATCCTTTTTGAATGTTTTGTTTTTTGGAAAATCCCTCCATGTTTACATATTTTTGCTATGACATGACGGACTTTTTCTGTTGACATTTTGGTATTTTATTTGATTCCAATTTGAGACTTTATCATTGTATATTGTTATTCTTTCTATATTTTGTACTTATATTGAAGTTTTTGTGTTTGCTTCTGAACTGTACATATGTTGTTTAAATTTGATATAATATGGCTACCGCCACATTTTTGGACTGATGCAGTGGCCGCTGGACTTAGCGTCACTTATTTGTTACTGTGTATGATACTCTGCGGAGTAACTGAACCCTGGAAGAAGCACTATTTCCAGGTAATGCTTTGTATTTCCATTTTTTAATTAATACAGACGCTTTCTCCTAGAATTTTGTCCTTTTTTGAATTGGTTGGGACCCGGGACTGGGAAAAGCGTACAGGAGTGCCTCTATTGGAACCAATTGGGACGGCCACTGTAGAAATACATTTACACTCACTACAGAATCAGTCGTTCTACCCAAACTTGTCTCGGAAGCATCGGTTTACAAAACCCTAGACCCTAAGGTTTGTAACGTCTTTTTGTTTTCCAGGGTTTATATCTTAGAGAGCATTTTTTGATATAGTCCTAAGTTTAAGTGAAATTAATGTAGGATTCGAATATTCGAACTACAGGTTTGGTCTGCATTACTGAGCGTAGCAACCCTCTACTTTTTGCTTCCAGTTACTGCACGATCCTATTCCGTTGGCTTTCGCTTCCAACTCATTTATTGACTCTTATCGCCTAAGCAATAATTAATACTGGAAACCCCTATCTTAAATGAATTTCTGATGGCAGATTCCAATAATTCTAGACGAAGTGCATGCCGTATTGCAGTGTTATTTTCTTATGAATCCTCCTTCGTCTAAAGTTATGTTTACGGCTTTCGATTGAAATGTCGCTTTCTTTTCCGTCTTCTTTATTTGTACTTTTACCTTTGACATTTTTAAAAATCCATTCATTTGTACCTAATAATTTTTCCTAGAAGGGGGTTTTCTCTCGGCACATCCTATAGTGGCATTCCCCTGATTGACAGTGCCAAGAGTTGAAGAGCTTTGGATGTCTAGCAGTTTTCATATCTAATGGACTCAGGACTTATTTCAACTACGCGTAACAGTGGTCTCGACAGGGGTTGGTACATTTTCACGCATCTCAAAAGTTGGTTTCTCACCCTTTTGACCAACAGCAAGCTTGAGCTAACAGAGGTGAAGACGACAATTGTTGCTTCATCATCGTTTGATGTCAGGCCAATTATGTGGACATATCACTCGACAACTTCATCACAGTGAGGTGCACGAAGCCTTCATTGAGAATAATCACTTTGATAAGGCAGCATTATTTACACAACTACTGTGAGACCGGTTAATAACTACGTTTATGCGCAGCCGGCAAAATACTGGCAAACAATTTGTGAAAATTCCTCCCATATTTGTCACATTGCATAACCTTATCAACAGGGAAGATGAATAAAAGTCCACCTCATTGATGAATTCAGATGACTATACTAACCATAACGAAGTGGATAAAAGTCTTAAATAAGAGTTCAAAGGTTACTTCTCGTACGATAAATGAAACAGAAATCTAATATCCGAACATATAAAGTAATTCATTTCCTGTCAAGTATTTATATTTCCTCCAATAATAATAAAAAGTACAGTTACATCCGGATTAAGAGTACAGGAACTACAAACCACTTTCTAGTCTCAAGCGGTTGTTTGTTTAACAAAATCGAAATTTAATTTTGGTTTTGCAGGCGGCTAATGCAAGTCGTTTTCCTGTAGACCGTTGAGTAATATCAGTAGGTATCTGAGTATTTTGTTATTTAATTTTGTCGCAAATTCACTACTAATTTATAACTTCTCTTTAACGTAGAGCTCGTATGTCACTTTAACGATAAGTCTCAATTTATTGGTGTGGTGTGTCTCGTAAAAATTAAGTGATTTTTATTAAATTAAAATTACCTTTGGCCATGGCTCTTTTGAAACGAATTACTCGGAGAAAATTCAGATATCCTATAGGATAGGACAGTCCATGCGGAATGCTCTATATCTATGCAAATTGAGGTTCCGATGATTACAACCCGTGCCAATTTTTTCAACCTTATTCAATTGATCTTCGGGGAATCACAAGGTTTTTCTCAGAACCAGAGAAAACTCTCAGGGCTTTGATCTAATTTCTTCCAAATCTGCTGCTTGAATATCTTTTGGACTGACTGAAGTTTAGGGAAAATTCCTTCTGACTGTGAAGGGAAACCCTGCGATTCCCCAAAGTTGTGCACTCGAGGTCAAAAAATAAACAGGTTTTAATCGTGGGAATCCAATCAATTAACAAGAGCGAAATGAAGATAAAGTTGGGGGAAATTAACTTAGCAAACATATATACAAAGGCATGTGGACTAGTCATCAAACCTCTGAAACAACTAGCGTTTGCATAAGAGGAGCGTTTACGTGATTCGTAACATGTGATCAATCGTGGTAGCCCATAAATATGTGGAAACACTTGTGTAGAAAAATAGCCCAACTCTTACTGACGAAAAATGACACAATCTGTATGACAAATAAGTTAATCAAAGATCTTAATAGATTTAAATATACAAACTCAAGTGCACTATCAGTATCGAAGCCTGAATATTGATAGATAGTTTGAAAGATCCTGGGATACTTCCTACAGTCATTGATGTGTGACCTTAACGACCAAAGCAGTTGCCTTTGAACTATTGAAGTACTTTGCTATTTTGCTCTGAATTTATTATTTGTAACGTATTAGTTGTACGAAACTTGGTTTGACCATTGTAATTACTTGAACGAATACTGGTACTGTTACTAGTCATAGGTGCAAACACAACCTCACAAGTGATACTGTATGACAGAACAAAGACTAATATTACTAGGTGCAAGAAAGAACAGCAAGACTGCAGTTGATCAACTTACTATCCACCAACCACAACTCAACAATTGGCCATGATAGTATCAGAAAACAAAATGAAATATGCATCACCCTTAAATATCCAATCAATGATCAGATATGATTATTACTATATTGCCTGTAGTTTATATTATTTAGTCAGTAATATAGAGTATGAATATAATTTACAATATCATCAGATTAGCTCCTTTAACTGAGAAATATGAACAGCCACTTTCTTTCATTACAGATATATTAGTAGGAGCTCCACTCTCTTACGATGTCAGTAGATAATGATTTTAAATTTTTAAATGATCTGCACATACAACTGAAGCCTGGTTGGACTAAAAAGGGAATAGTTGAATTCCTAAAAGAAGCAGAGAAACGCGAGATTTTATACACAAGAGCTCGTAGAGATGATATGGAAAAAGCAGTTGCTCAGTTTAGAAGTTCTGCTTTGAATTTCATTTCCAGTCTACCAACTGAGATACGAAGTAAACCTTATTTTGACTGTATTAATCAATGTAATGGGGACGCAGGAGTGAATGTAAGTTGTACCTAAAGTAATTTTTTACTGTGTGCAAGTTTTGATCTTGATATTGGTACTGTATCTAGCAATGTTTTCTCGATGGTTTGCTTCACTGTGACTAAGGCTTTTGAATTGGTTTATGACTCATTAAAATTAGGCTCCCGCTATTGGATTAGCATATTTTCTTTCGTAAGGTTTATCCCAAAATTTTAAGAAACTATACTAAACCCATTACTGTTCCGTAAGTCTCTAATGTATTTCTTTTCTGTACTAAGAAATGATACTACTTACCGTTGTGGATATGTAGATGTTACAGCTATTTGTTGTAGATCACTTTACCGAGTGACCTCTGGTGGTAGCTTATTGGTCTAGGTATTCAGCTTTCAACAGTTGAATTAGAGATTTGACTCCCATTCCATTTACTTTCTCAATTTTCCCGGTGGGGTTATCAGTTGTTACACTGTAAAGGGTATTTCCAAACCATGTTTCCGAATGTATATGTGGTTGCGAAATGGAATTGATAAATTAAACTTCTTTTTTAGAGCAGACTACCTGTGATTGAATAAGCATACTTCCGTGAACACCCTTACTCACTTTCTGTTACTGTGGCTGAATAATTCTAACTTCGAAGGTTCCAGTATTCAAATGCCTAAAGTTTTCGTAATGTGTTCATTTTCAATCCTCAGGTCTCAGCTGTCAAACATTATAAAAAAACAACTGATTTTTCAAATAAGTTGTCTTAGTAGTGTCATAAATAATCCATGTTTCTTAAATGCTAAACTAGTTATCTTTATTGAAAATTTTTGTACTTTGAAGACTTCATAGGTTAATTTGATGAATGTAATTTTTGAGATCCGATAAGTAATACTTTTACGTGAATACAACACTTATTTTATTTGGTGGATAGGTTTGCGCAAAAGATTTGCTATTGAATCAATACAAGATCTACATGAGTGTCTAGATCGTGTTTAAGTATAGTGCTAACTTCTTAGATTAGAATCTCGGTAAGTAGTTACCCTCAGAAGATTCGAATACACAAACTAAGGTTACAATAGTTGGGTCCGTCATAATCTTTTATTTAAAATCAACACAGGTAGTTTTTGTTAGTTTTATGTCAGATAATTATGTTTGGATTGATATCCCGTGAATATCTATATTAATACAGTATACTTTTGTCTACATTTCTGTTATTACATTAGTTACTCGATCAGTTGGTGTCCGAAGTTAAGAAACGTAGTCGACAAGAATGGGAAGATTCCGTAAAAACCCGTACTGGAAAGAGACTATGTAGAGGACAGACTGCCAGTAATTGTCGAAGTGCAAACACATCCCGAGCATCCACTAATCCACAGTTGTCACAATGGCCATCTATGCCATCTATTTCGGAAGATGTAGAGTTGACAAATATTGCTGCTGCCGATCAAGTCCCAACTTTAAATGCTTCTCAGGTATTTATTCGTGACTAAAGTTATTTCTTATCCATCCTGATTCCTTTTGTGTTAACTGGTTCATTCTGTGTAGAGAAAACTTTTAAAAATGCTACTGTTTAGCTTCTTTCTTCCACCTAAGGATTTCGCAGTGATGTGTTTGGCATCATTTTATTGATAATTAGACAATTAAGACGGTTTCATCCAGCAGTTACATAATGTTTCAGTGATTAATAACTGTGATGAAACAAACGTTGGTGGATAAAAGGTGTGTTTTATTTAGGAAAGGTTTCATAATAGCTTTTATTTTATAACTGTCAGCTGAAGTCAATAATTATCGGTGTATGGACAGTTTCATTGTAAGGTGTTTGACTAATTTGAGGACACGTTATCCTAAGCTGAGTACCAAGCATATAGTAATAACAAACTCTTAAATATTTACAGCAGTCAGACAAGTAATTTTCACACATTTAAAATCTGGTTTACGAGTTTACAAATAAACTGCTTTTACTTTAAGCTAATTACCCGTCGATCGCAATAATTACACAAACGATCTTAAGAATTCTTACAATATTGAGTAAAAATCTAGACTTATTAATTAGTTAGTTTTTCCTACTAAGCTCAATCAACTAGTTCTTTCATTTTTAAAAACTCACTCAAAAGTCTATACATTTATAAACAATTCTGATCAACCAACTATGATATTTTGTGACCTAAGATTACTGTCAACTTTCCTCCCACCTGAGCTAGTAGCATCTAACATCAGATTAAATAGGACATGAAATTCTTTACTTCAGACAGTTTAGCCAATGCAAACTTTCATTTTGTTAATCAAACTGATAACCTGACCAAACTAAAATTTCGTCCTGAATTAAGAAATTTCGCATCTTTTCATTAGGAATATTTTTTTCCGTTATCAATTCAGTTTTTTTTTTCATTCTTATGTTTATTTCTGATTAGATTAAAGGTGTTAGTGGAAAACGATTACCAATGGCTTCTACACCAAAAGTAACTGAAATTAAAGGATTCATTCCTCCATCTGCTACTTGTCGAGTAACTCGATCACGTGCAATCAATCATCAAAGTTCAGATACACGTAAAATGAATACAACTCGTGTAAATAACAGTAATATGAGTTATTCTGCAACAAATACTTTAACCATTATGGATAAGACTTTACGACCTAAGTCTACACAAAAAATTTCCAAAGAAACGAGAGTGAGATTTATTTTTTTATTTTTATCAGTTTGTAGTAAATGTTCACATAATTGTTTTAAATATGTGCCCGTAAATAATAAACCATATTTATGTCTTTCTAACCATGAAATTTATTTCATGTGTGCATTTAACTGGTTGTAGATAGTTGAAAAATTCCACGCACGGCCTTTTTATCAAAGGTTTTTTGAGTATTAGCTCTGCTCTTAAAAGCCCTTAGTAGGCACCCTTACCGACGGAGACGGAAATCCATGAAGTAGGGTGAGGTGTGACATTGTTAAGGTCGACATTTTCTAACCCTTCCTTGTGATAAGGTAGCGTCGCTGCAGATGCTGGTTGTTTGAGGGAAATACCTTACTGCTCTCACACCCCTGTGCAGTCAGCAGTACGACTTCGTCCTTACATCTGGAGTAGCTGCTTTTAGTCTCATCGTTCTCCAATCGACCTGCCTGGCATGGTAGAACCTTCAGGAACATATGGTCCGGCCAATATAGCTCGTTTGGGTCATCACGATAGGCAAACCCGACCATCACGTCAAGGTAGCAGCTACGACCGGGATGTATAAAATTGATTTACTTATGTATTCGAAACCCGTCAATCGTTTTTAAGATTAGAAGGAACAAAACATATTAACTCAATCTGAAAGTCAGATATATCAAGGCATTAAGCTCAGAGAAACAAAATTAGTAGTCGTACGTTCTCTCCATGTTAATCAATAAATTATAGACTTCAGCTTTATGGAACCATTTTATAAACACCATATAAATACCTAATTTACTATAAGAAAGCTGATCTTTTCCCTAGAAAAACGGAAATAGCTGATAAACATTTTAGATAGACAGATGCAAAGATAGTTAGTCATGCTTTTGATATGTAAAACAGTTAGTTCATGATAATAATAATAATAATAGGTATTATTTTCGACAGAATATTAATGATCGTACTAATATCTGTTAATTTCGTCGTAATCATTAATGCTTTCTCTTGATGATATAATGAAAGACCTGCCTCACATGAGATTAGCTTATTCTGACGCAATCAAGTGCGTGAGTTTACTTTTGGTATATTAACTTCAGTTTTAAATGACTCCATACAAATAAGAACAAACTTAATTATGTATATACAGTTTGAATAAGAACATTTGTTAACCTAATTGATGTTTGGTAAGCTAAGTCATACACATGTTCCAACCAATGTAGCTCAGTCGAATAATCACAACAGGTAAGCACGACCACCACGTCAAGATAGCATCAACGTTCGGGAGTTGCAGTACAGTGTTAGAATAGTCGAATTACAGTCTGAATGACTGAGTGAACATGTCATAATATTTGCAAAATATCCTACTTGTCTCATAAATTTATGTGGATAAGTAACCAGTGACCAACCACCATACACTCTGATCATTTATGGGCATATAATACAAGATGAATGAAACCTGTTGATATAGTAATGATCGCAAATACACGCTCTACTGGGGTTCTATAAACTGCATCAGCATTCATTGTAAATCACTAGAAGTTTTCTAATTTGTTTTAGATGGTAAACGACCTAACTCCCAAATTTATCAAGCTGATTTTCATCGCATCTTAAGAAGTACTTTAGTAATATACAAGTGTAACATTATCTTTCCACTTAGTCTTGTTAGAGTAGTAAAGTAATATTTATATATATATATCACTTGGTATGTTCATAAATATTACTTTACTACTCTAACAAGACTAAGTGGAAAGATAATGTTACACTTGTATATTACTAAAGTACTTCTTAAGATGCGATGAAAATCAGCTTGATAAATTTGGGAGTTAGGTCGTTTACCATCTAAAACAAATTAGAAAACTTCTAGTGATTTACAATGAATGCTGATGCAGTTTATAGAACCCCAGTAGAGCGTGTATTTGCGATCATTACTATATCAACAGGTTTCATTCATCTTGTATTATATGCCCATAAATGATCAGAGTGTATGGTGGTTGGTCACTGGTTACTTATCCACATAAATTTATGAGACAAGTAGGATATTTTGCAAATATTATGACATGTTCACTCAGTCATTCAGACTGTAATTCGACTATTCTAACACTGTACTGCAACTCCCGAACGTTGATGCTATCTTGACGTGGTGGTCGTGCTTACCTGTTGTGATTATTCGACTGAGCTACATTGGTTGGAACATGTGTATGACTTAGCTTACCAAACATCAATTAGGTTAACAAATGTTCTTATTCAAACTGTATATACATAATTAAGTTTGTTCTTATTTGTATGGAGTCATTTAAAACTGAAGTTAATATACCAAAAGTAAACTCACGCACTTGATTGCGTCAGAATAAGCTAATCTCATGTGAGGCAGGTCTTTCATTATATCATCAAGAGAAAGCATTAATGATTACGACGAAATTAACAGATATTAGTACGATCATTAATATTCTGTCGAAAATAATACCTATTATTATTATTATTATCATGAACTAACTGTTTTACATATCAAAAGCATGACTAACTATCTTTGCATCTGTCTATCTAAAATGTTTATCAGCTATTTCCGTTTTTCTAGGGAAAAGATCAGCTTTCTTATAGTAATTAGGTATTTATATGGTGTTTATAAAATGGTTCCATAAAGCTGAAGTCTATAATTTATTGATTAACATGGAGAGAACGTACGACTACTAATTTTGTTTCTCTGAGCTTAATGCCTTGATATATCTGACTTTCAGATTGAGTTAATATGTTTTGTTCCTTCTAATCTTAAAAACGATTGACGGGTTTCGAATACATAAGTAAATCAATTTTATACATCCCGGTCGTAGCTGCTACCTTGACGTGATGGTCGGGTTTGCCTATCGTGATGACCCAAACGAGCTATATTGGCCGGACCATATGTTCCTGAAGGTTCTACCATGCCAGGCAGGTCGATTGGAGAACGATGAGACTAAAAGCAGCTACTCCAGATGTAAGGACGAAGTCGTACTGCTGACTGCACAGGGGTGTGAGAGCAGTAAGGTATTTCCCTCAAACAACCAGCATCTGCAGCGACGCTACCTTATCACAAGGAAGGGTTAGAAAATGTCGACCTTAACAATGTCACACCTCACCCTACTTCATGGATTTCCGTCTCCGTCGGTAAGGGTGCCTACTAAGGGCTTTTAAGAGCAGAGCTAATACTCAAAAAACCTTTGATAAAAAGGCCGTGCGTGGAATTTTTCAACTATCTACAACCAGTTAAATGCACACATGAAATAAATTTCATGGTTAGAAAGACATAAATATGGTTTATTATTTACGGGCACATATTTAAAACAATTATGTGAACATTTACTACAAACTGATAAAAATAAAAAATAAATCTCACTCTCGTTTCTTGGAAATTTTTTGTGTAGACTTAGGTCGTAAAGTCTTATCCATAATGGTTAAAGTATTTGTTGGCAGAATAACTCATATTACTGTTATTTACACGAGTTGTATTCATTTTACGTGTATCTGAACTTTGATGATTGATTGCACGTGATCGAGTTACTCGACAAGTAGCAGATGGAGGAATGAATCCTTTAATTTCAGTTACTTTTGGTGTAGAAGCCATTGGTAATCGTTTTCCACTAACACCTTTAATCTAATCAGAAATAAACATAAGAATGAAAAAAAAAAACTGAATTGATAACGGAAAAAAATATTCCTAATGAAAAGATGCGAAATTTCTTAATTCAGGACGAAATTTTAGTTTGGTCAGGTTATCAGTTTGATTAACAAAATGAAAGTTTGCATTGGCTAAACTGTCTGAAGTAAAGAATTTCATGTCCTATTTAATCTGATGTTAGATGCTACTAGCTCAGGTGGGAGGAAAGTTGACAGTAATCTTAGGTCACAAAATATCATAGTTGGTTGATCAGAATTGTTTATAAATGTATAGACTTTTGAGTGAGTTTTTAAAAATGAAAGAACTAGTTGATTGAGCTTAGTAGGAAAAACTAACTAATTAATAAGTCTAGATTTTTACTCAATATTGTAAGAATTCTTAAGATCGTTTGTGTAATTATTGCGATCGACGGGTAATTAGCTTAAAGTAAAAGCAGTTTATTTGTAAACTCGTAAACCAGATTTTAAATGTGTGAAAATTACTTGTCTGACTGCTGTAAATATTTAAGAGTTTGTTATTACTATATGCTTGGTACTCAGCTTAGGATAACGTGTCCTCAAATTAGTCAAACACCTTACAATGAAACTGTCCATACACCGATAATTATTGACTTCAGCTGACAGTTATAAAATAAAAGCTATTATGAAACCTTTCCTAAATAAAACACACCTTTTATCCACCAACGTTGTTTCATCACAGTTATTAATCACTGAAACATTATGTAACTGCTGGATGAAACCGTCTTAATTGTCTATTTATCAATAAAATGATGCCAAACACATCACTGCGAAATCCTTAGGTGGAAGAAAGAAGCTAAAACAGTAGCATTTTTAAAAGTTTTCTCTACACAGAATGAACCAGTTATCACAAAAGGAATCAGGATGGATAAGAAATAACTTTAGTCACGAATAAATACCTGAGAAGCATTTAAAGTTGGGACTTGATCGGCAGCAGCAATATTTGTCAACTCTACATCTTCCGAAATAGATGGCATAGATGGCCATTGTGACAACTGTGGATTAGTGGATGCTCGGGATGTGTTTGCACTTCGACAATTACTGGCAGTCTGTCCTCTACATAGTCTCTTTCCAGTACGGGTTTTTACGGAATCTTCCCATTCTTGTCGACTACGTTTCTTAACTTCGGACACCAACTGGTCGAGTAACTAATGTAATAACAGAAATGTAGACAAAAGTATACTGTATTAATATAGATATTCACGGGATATCAATCCAAACATAATTATCTGACATAAAACTAACAAAAACTACCTGTGTTGATTTTAAATAAAAGATTATGACGGACCCAACTATTGTAACCTTAGTTTGTGTATTCGAATCTTCTGAGGGTAACTACTTACCGAGATTCTAATCTAAGAAGTTAGCACTATACTTAAAACACGATCTAGACACTCATGTAGATCTTGTATTGATTCAATAGCAAATCTTTTGCGCAAACCTATCCACCAAATAAAATAAGTGTTGTATTCACGTAAAAGTATTACTTATCGGATCTCAAAAATTACATTCATCAAATTAACCTATGAAGTCTTCAAAGTACAAAAATTTTCAATAAAGATAACTAGTTTAGCATTTAAGAAACATGGATTATTTATGACACTACTAAGACAACTTATTTGAAAAATCAGTTGTTTTTTTATAATGTTTGACAGCTGAGACCTGAGGATTGAAAATGAACACATTACGAAAACTTTAGGCATTTGAATACTGGAACCTTCGAAGTTAGAATTATTCAGCCACAGTAACAGAAAGTGAGTAAGGGTGTTCACGGAAGTATGCTTATTCAATCACTGGTAGTCGGCTCTAAAAAAGAAGTTTAATTTATCAATTCCATTTCGCAACCACATATACATTCGGAAACATGGTTTGGAAATACCCTTTACAGTGTAACAACTGATAACCCCACCGGGAAAATTGAGAAAGTAAATGGAATGGGAGTCAAATCTCTAATTCAACTGTTGAAAGCTGAATACCTAGACCAATAAGCTACCACCAGAGGTCACTCGGTAAAGTGATCTACAACAAATAGCTGTAACATCTACATATCCACAACGGTAAGTAGTATCATTTCTTAGTACAGAAAAGAAATACATTAGAGACTTACGGAACAGTAATGGGTTTAGTATAGTTTCTTAAAATTTTGGGATAAACCTTACGAAAGAAAATATGCTAATCCAATAGCGGGAGCCTAATTTTAATGAGTCATAAACCAATTCAAAAGCCTTAGTCACAGGGAAGCAAACCATCGAGAAAACATTGCTAGATACAGTACCAATATCAAGATCAAAACTTGCACACAGTAAAAAATTACTTTAGGTACAACTTACATTCACTCCTGCGTCCCCATTACATTGATTAATACAGTCAAAATAAGGTTTACTTCGTATCTCAGTTGGTAGACTGGAAATGAAATTCAAAGCAGAACTTCTAAACTGAGCAACTGCTTTTTCCATATCATCTCTACGAGCTCTTGTGTATAAAATCTCGCGTTTCTCTGCTTCTTTTAGGAATTCAACTATTCCCTTTTTAGTCCAACCAGGCTTCAGTTGTATGTGCAGATCATTTAAAAATTTAAAATCATTATCTACTGACATCGTAAGAGAGTGGAGCTCCTACTAATATATCTGTAATGAAAGAAAGTGGCTGTTCATATTTCTCAGTTAAAGGAGCTAATCTGATGATATTGTAAATTATATTCATACTCTATATTACTGACTAAATAATATAAACTACAGGCAATATAGTAATAATCATATCTGATCATTGATTGGATATTTAAGGGTGATGCATATTTCATTTTGTTTTCTGATACTATCATGGCCAATTGTTGAGTTGTGGTTGGTGGATAGTAAGTTGATCAACTGCAGTCTTGCTGTTCTTTCTTGCACCTAGTAATATTAGTCTTTGTTCTGTCATACAGTATCACTTGTGAGGTTGTGTTTGCACCTATGACTAGTAACAGTACCAGTATTCGTTCAAGTAATTACAATGGTCAAACCAAGTTTCGTACAACTAATACGTTACAAATAATAAATTCAGAGCAAAATAGCAAAGTACTTCAATAGTTCAAAGGCAACTGCTTTGGTCGTTAAGGTCACACATCAATGACTGTAGGAAGTATCCCAGGATCTTTCAAACTATCTATCAATATTCAGGCTTCGATACTGATAGTGCACTTGAGTTTGTATATTTAAATCTATTAAGATCTTTGATTAACTTATTTGTCATACAGATTGTGTCATTTTTCGTCAGTAAGAGTTGGGCTATTTTTCTACACAAGTGTTTCCACATATTTATGGGCTACCACGATTGATCACATGTTACGAATCACGTAAACGCTCCTCTTATGCAAACGCTAGTTGTTTCAGAGGTTTGATGACTAGTCCACATGCCTTTGTATATATGTTTGCTAAGTTAATTTCCCCCAACTTTATCTTCATTTCGCTCTTGTTAATTGATTGGATTCCCACGATTAAAACCTGTTTATTTTTTGACCTCGAGTGCACAACTTTGGGGAATCGCAGGGTTTCCCTTCACAGTCAGAAGGAATTTTCCCTAAACTTCAGTCAGTCCAAAAGATATTCAAGCAGCAGATTTGGAAGAAATTAGATCAAAGCCCTGAGAGTTTTCTCTGGTTCTGAGAAAAACCTTGTGATTCCCCGAAGATCAATTGAATAAGGTTGAAAAAATTGGCACGGGTTGTAATCATCGGAACCTCAATTTGCATAGATATAGAGCATTCCGCATGGACTGTCCTATCCTATAGGATATCTGAATTTTCTCCGAGTAATTCGTTTCAAAAGAGCCATGGCCAAAGGTAATTTTAATTTAATAAAAATCACTTAATTTTTACGAGACACACCACACCAATAAATTGAGACTTATCGTTAAAGTGACATACGAGCTCTACGTTAAAGAGAAGTTATAAATTAGTAGTGAATTTGCGACAAAATTAAATAACAAAATACTCAGATACCTACTGATATTACTCAACGGTCTACAGGAAAACGACTTGCATTAGCCGCCTGCAAAACCAAAATTAAATTTCGATTTTGTTAAACAAACAACCGCTTGAGACTAGAAAGTGGTTTGTAGTTCCTGTACTCTTAATCCGGATGTAACTGTACTTTTTATTATTATTGGAGGAAATATAAATACTTGACAGGAAATGAATTACTTTATATGTTCGGATATTAGATTTCTGTTTCATTTATCGTACGAGAAGTAACCTTTGAACTCTTATTTAAGACTTTTATCCACTTCGTTATGGTTAGTATAGTCATCTGAATTCATCAATGAGGTGGACTTTTATTCATCTTCCCTGTTGATAAGGTTATGCAATGTGACAAATATGGGAGGAATTTTCACAAATTGTTTGCCAGTATTTTGCCGGCTGCGCATAAACGTAGTTATTAACCGGTCTCACAGTAGTTGTGTAAATAATGCTGCCTTATCAAAGTGATTATTCTCAATGAAGGCTTCGTGCACCTCACTGTGATGAAGTTGTCGAGTGATATGTCCACATAATTGGCCTGACATCAAACGATGATGAAGCAACAATTGTCGTCTTCACCTCTGTTAGCTCAAGCTTGCTGTTGGTCAAAAGGGTGAGAAACCAACTTTTGAGATGCGTGAAAATGTACCAACCCCTGTCGAGACCACTGTTACGCGTAGTTGAAATAAGTCCTGAGTCCATTAGATATGAAAACTGCTAGACATCCAAAGCTCTTCAACTCTTGGCACTGTCAATCAGGGGAATGCCACTATAGGATGTGCCGAGAGAAAACCCCCTTCTAGGAAAAATTATTAGGTACAAATGAATGGATTTTTAAAAATGTCAAAGGTAAAAGTACAAATAAAGAAGACGGAAAAGAAAGCGACATTTCAATCGAAAGCCGTAAACATAACTTTAGACGAAGGAGGATTCATAAGAAAATAACACTGCAATACGGCATGCACTTCGTCTAGAATTATTGGAATCTGCCATCAGAAATTCATTTAAGATAGGGGTTTCCAGTATTAATTATTGCTTAGGCGATAAGAGTCAATAAATGAGTTGGAAGCGAAAGCCAACGGAATAGGATCGTGCAGTAACTGGAAGCAAAAAGTAGAGGGTTGCTACGCTCAGTAATGCAGACCAAACCTGTAGTTCGAATATTCGAATCCTACATTAATTTCACTTAAACTTAGGACTATATCAAAAAATGCTCTCTAAGATATAAACCCTGGAAAACAAAAAGACGTTACAAACCTTAGGGTCTAGGGTTTTGTAAACCGATGCTTCCGAGACAAGTTTGGGTAGAACGACTGATTCTGTAGTGAGTGTAAATGTTATTTCTACAGTGGCCGTCCCAATTGGTTCCAATAGAGGCACTCCTGTACGCTTTTCCCAGTTCCGGGTCCCAACCAATTCAAAAAGGACAAATTTCTAGGAGAAAGCGTCTGTATTGATTAAAAAATGGAAATACAAAGCATTACCTGGAAATAGTGCTTCTTCCAGGGTTCAGTTACTCCGCAGAGTATCAGACACAGTAACAAATAAGTGACGCTAAGTCCAGCGGCCACTGCGTCAGTCCAAAAATGTGGCGGTAGCCATATTATATCAAATTTAAACAACATATGTACAGTTCAGAAGCAAACACAAAAACTTCAATATAAGTACAAAATATAGAAAGAATAACAATATACAATGATAAAGCCTCAAATTGGAATCAAATAAAATATCAAAATGTCAACAGAAAAAGTCCGTCATGTCATAGCAAAAATATGTAAACATGGAGGGATTTTCCAAAAAACAAAACATTCAAAAAGGATTCTACACCGGCCCGCAAAATCCCTCCATGCGAAAAGAGCAAGCGTTAATGACACTTTATTTAGGGTTCCCAGTTATCCGCTAATCCACACCGGAATAACGTGTAGGACTTACAGCAGTACGCCTACCCGCCATCCAACATGGATATGACCTATCGTGTTAACTAGGTACCTATACTTTCCCATCAGGCCCTTGATTCCCCTATCTATCGTGGCATGACCTAACGGTAGTATAAAACTCACCCAATTAACCCACACGAACATGAACAACACGTCGTAAAACTGGTCATATCCTATCCGGGAACTACATTCCCTATCATGGGG